CGCTGTTATAATTAAACGGCTAATACTGAATGCCAAAAATACGACAAAATTAGAATCTTTTGCATGAAAGTAACGTGTCACAAACCTGACTCCAGTCCAAATATTTTCGAACTTTTTTCTGATTTTCCCTCTCTCTTTTTCCCATGACTCTAAAATATCTTTTCCACTAACTAACAAAAATAAAATATTTTCCGATTAATTTTCTAAAAAATATGTTTTGATGAATTCAGATAGAAGAAATATATTTATTTATATTTAAGCCTGTTTAACATATATCTTTAAGATATAAATTAAAAATATATTTAATGTATTTTTAAATATTAATTTATATTAAAAAGTAAAAATATAAATTTTATTTTTAATATTAATATCATATAAAAAAATTTTAATTAAATAATTAATAAATTATTTTATTATTTTATAATTTATTAATAAAAATATAATAAACAGACAATTTACTTATACTATATCTCTAAAAACTTCCTGCAAAATTTAATAAAATTTTCCTCACGGGAGAAGAAAATAAATGATGAAAATGAATTAAACGAACAACAATAAATAAATGTTATTTGGCCGACAACGAAAAATGTCGTATTTGGGGGAGAGAAATTGAGGAAACAGAGTGCTGAGAGAACCTTACTGTCATGCACTTTGGCACGACTCGTCGGACATTGCGAAAGGAGGAGTTGTAAAGTTGTTCTCTTTCTCAGTCTATTATCCTAGATCTGCATTTTGGCATTAGGGTTTTCTTTTTCTCCGTTTTAGATTCAAGAATCCAGGTTCCACCCCACTTTCGTCCCAGCTCAACTCGCCGGAGTCAACTCAGCTCTGGATATCCTTTTTTCCAAGTGAGTTTCTATCTTTCTCTCTTTCTTTCTTTCACTCGCTATTTCTCCCTTTTTCGGTCTCAAGGGGATCCTTGTTTTCATGGGTTTTCTGCATTCTGTGTTTTGGAGTGTGGGTTTGGTTTAATTTGGTGAGAGTTTGTTGGAGGAAGGAAAATAAAAATGTTGACTTCTTCATATATGAGTCCTGGGTGATTTCATTTCAGCTATTTTTTCGATGATTAGTAGGGAAATTGATAGGCTTTACTATTGAAAAGTTGCTGTTGACTGTTTATTTACATCCTTAGATTCTTGTACAGTCAATTGATCTAGATTGTTGGTTCAAAGCTGGGATTTTTGAGGTGGGGTTTTTTGGGATTCCAATGGAAGCATCAGTAGATGGTTCTAATACCAAGAATAATGACGGGGTTGGGAATTTGATGGCTGCAAGGAATTCACTAAAACTAAGCTTAGAGAAATCAAAAGCTCTAGGGTTAGCTCTTGAAAAGGCAGGACCGAGGTTGGAGGAGATTAGTCAAAGATTGCCTTCTTTGGGAGCTGCAGTCCGCCCCATTCGTGCAGATAAGGATGCCCTCCTTGCTGTTGGAGGCCACATTAACCGAGCTGTGGGACCTGCCGCAGCTGTGCTTAAGGTTTTTGATGCAGTTCATGGGCTTGAAAAGTCACTGCTATCTGATCCTCGGAATGAGCTTCCTGGGTATTTGTCAGTGTTAAAACGCCTTGAAGAGGCATTGCATTTTCTGGGGGATAATTGTGGATTGGCAATCCAGTGGTTGGAGGACATAGTGGAGTACTTGGAGGATAACAGAGTTGCTGATGAGCTGTTTCTCTTGAATCTGAAGAAGTCATTGAAGGGTCTGAGGGAATTGCAAAATGGTGAAAGAGCACGACTTGATGGTGGGCTTCTCGATGCTGCTTTAGATCAATTAGAAAATGAGTTTAGACGTCTATTGACAGAGCATAGTGTGCCACTTCCAATGTCTTCTCCTTCATCACTTGGAGAACAAGCATGCATTGCTCCATCACCTTTGCCAGTTTCTGTTATTCAAAAGCTGCAAGCAATTATCGGTAGACTCATTGCCAATAATAGACTTGAGAAGTGCATATCAATATATGTTGAAATTCGCAGTGCCAACGTGAGAGCTAGTTTGCAGGCACTGGATTTGGACTATCTCGAGATATCTGTGTCAGAATTCAATGATGTGCAGAGCATAGAAGGATACATAGCACAGTGGGGAAAGCATTTGGAGTTTGCAGTGAAGCATTTGTTTGAGGCAGAGTTCAAACTTTGTAATGATGTGTTTGAGAGGATTGGTCTAGATGTTTGGATGGGCTGCTTTGCTAACATAGCAGCACAAGCAGGCATTCTTGCTTTTCTACAATTTGGGAAGACTGTTGCAGAGAGTAAGAAAGATCCTGTCAAGCTTATTAAGTTGTTGGATATATTTGCATCTCTAAACAAATTGAGATTGGATTTCAACCGGCTTTTTGGAGGACCAGCATGTGCTGAAATCCAAAACCTTACAAGAGATCTCATCAAAAAGGTCATTGAAGGGGCTGCTGAGATATTCTGGGAACTTCTTTTTCAGGTGGAATTGCAGAGGAAGAGTCCACCCCCGCAGGATGGGAATGTTCCAAAATTGGTGTCTTTTATTACCGATTATTGTAATAAACTGCTTGCGGAAAATTATAAGCCAATCCTAATCCAAGTTCTGGTCATACACCGTGGTTGGAAGCATGAGAAGTTCCAAGAGAAGCTCCTTGTTAGTGAGATTTTGAATATTATCAAAGCTGTTGAACTGAATTTGGACATATGGATGAAGGCCTATGAGGATCGTAATCTGTCCCGTCTTTTTGCAATGAACAACCACTGGCATTTGTATAAGCATCTAAGGGATACAAAACTTGGGGATCTCTTGGGGGAGACTTGGTTGAGAGAACATGAGCAGTCCAAAGACTATTATGCCACTGTTTTCTTGAGTGACAGCTGGGGCAAGCTTCCTGGTCATTTGAGTCGCGAAGGTCTGATTCTGTTCTCAGGTGGGCGTGCCACTGCTCGTGATCTTGTAAAGAGAAGGCTGAAAACATTCAATGAGGCTTTTGATGAGATGTACAAGAAACAGTCTATATGGGTTATATCAGAAAAAGATCTCAGAGAGAAGACATGTCAACTTATAGTACAGGCAGTAGTGCCTGTTTATAGAAGCTATATGCAAAATTATGGTCCATTGGTTGAGCAAGATGCAAGTTCCAGTAAGTATGCGAAGTACACAGTACATACTCTGGAGAAAATGCTTCTCTCTCTCTTTCAGCCAAGGCCAGTGAGGTATGGCAGTTTCAAAGGTAGGTCACCTGGTGGAAAACTTGAAGTAGATCTTCGCCGTGCTACTTCTTCTGTTGTGTGATTGCCCAAACCAGTTAATTCTCTACTGCAGTAAACCCCAAAGACAGCCATGCACAGTATTACCTTTATTGTTAGATGGTCAACCTTTTATCTTGTACATATGGACACCCTCTGGGGCCTGGGAACAAACTTCCTACAGACATTGCCACCCCATTACTCAAGGCATCTCTACGATGTTTAATTTGCAAGTTATCAGTTTGCAACTGATATGAGTTTCTATCTCCACTGCTAGGATGGCTCTGCGAGGCAAAGGGAATAATCTTGATGTTTGCCAGATGAAAGAATGAACAAGTACGTAAGTCTGATTGTATCAGATTCATACACAATACTTCTCAGCTATAACTCCTCATTTTAGTTTCATATTTAGTTAATGATTCAGTTATGCAAAAGACTAGATTAGGTGTAAAATTCGTGGTACTGCAGTGATTAATTTATCCCACCCAATTTTCTTTAAGGAATCATAAGCATCCCAGTCCTACAATGATATACTTGTTATTTGTACTATTGGGTGTCTGTTCTTTGTTCATCAACCTTGTATTACAGACATGAGTTCACCGAAACTATTGACAATAAAATGTTGGTTAGTTCTGAAAATTCTGTTTCTCCAGCGTGATACAATTGGTCCATTGTTGAATCTTTTCCAACACCTATCAAAATATGTTTGTTTGTTCCATTTAACTTTCTGGTTGCTCAGCATAGCATTCATTGAAAAATACTTTTAAGGCATGATGATATATGGTATGATATCTGGATCATGTAGCAGTAGTGTTTCTTCCTTTATCTAAAATTCCAATATCAGTGAGAAGTGGAGATATTGCTTTGAGAAAAAGGATGAAGATTCTCAACTATGACTTTTTCTTTCCAGATAAGATGATGACCCACCAAAATGTGATTTTCGTTTTCTTGTGCGTCTCTCTGATATGATGGAACTTCCTTTTGTATGTTATCCCAACACGAACAGCCTCTTATCCTGTCATTTTCCTGAACAGACACGAAAAAAAAATCAAAACATTGTAAAAATCGAAGATCAGCTGAAAGAATATACTACTTTAGCCTCAAATTAACTTTCAGGTTAACTTTTTGCACTTAACTTTAATAATGCTTTTATGTATAGCATACAAGTTAGTAAAAGTGCAAAAAAAAAGAAAAAAGAAAAACGTTGGTTAAGTTGCCTTGTGACAACTGTGGAAATTTCCCCCTTACCAAAAAAAAAAAAATGGTCTTCTACGTTAATATATATATATATATATATTGAAAGATTAATGTATTTTGAAATTAGTATTTGCAAAAGATTAAATGTTAATTTTAGTTCATAAATTTGTAATTTTTAAATATTTTTAGTTTTTAAATTATTTTTTGTATTTTTGAACTATAAAAAATACATTTTTTTTAGTTTTTTTTGTTATTTAATTTGTTAAATCCTTGAACTTATAAGTTTAAAAACTAAAAATATATATACTATAAATTTAAGAATTAAAAATGTACATATTTAGATATATTTAATGAATTAATTAAAAAATATATTTTTCATAATTAAAGAATAAAAAATAGAAGCCAACCGAACCTGTGGGCCAATTGGTTGGCCCCCAAACTTTAGGGCTTGGGTGAGGCGGAGGTCAGGGATTCGAGCTCTGCCACCGCCGTGAACTCCATCAACTTGCGACCTAATAGTCGCGCGCTTCAAATGAGGGGTGGAACGTTCACTTTCCTGAAAAAATTCCAGCTGCTAACAAACTAACTCTACTAACTTCCTAACCATCTACCTGGTCAAAAAAATAAAAAATAAAAAAAAGAAAAATATTTAAAATTTAAAATATTTAAAATTTAAAATTTAAAAACTAAAATTAATATTTAACCTTTTCAAAAAAAAAAAAAATCCCCAATGTTCAACTATAGCGTATATACTTGGAAATAGGATTGTGAACAAATCAAATTTTATGATTAAAATATAGTAATTCGCAGTTGAAAAGAGGAATCTTATTTTGTGAAAATACTACCGAGAGAGACTACTACTGCCGTGCACGTCGGGTTCAAACCTCAAAGACATTATAAGACATGACAAGTCAGTTTCAAAAATGGGAGATACAAAGTGGTTCTTCAACTTGTGTGTAAATTTGTCTTCATCAACCTTCCACACATGATATGAGAAACATCCTAAGGTTTGCTTTTGTCACGACATTGTCATATCTTTTCTTTTCTAACGCACACGACAAATTAATCAATCTGTCCCCTGTTATTTTTGCCAACCCAATTCAGGCTTCAAATCATTTCTTTCACCATTCATCCTCTTTAAGCCTTTCTATATCTCAATCATTCTCAATAGACTATACCTCGCATGGCGATAGAGATTGAGATCAATCAACATATAACTATTATAGTGTTCTTGAGAATAACTGAATTTCTTATCGTGAGGCAAACTAATATATATAGATGTAACCAACATAAAATGAGTCAAATTTATGAGGGTTTTTTTTATTTTATAATTTACATTATATTATATTGAAAAAATTAAAATTTTTAGATGAAAAAAAAGAGCTCAATATTATAGAGTCATTTTTAAATTTATAAACTACTAATAATTAATAACTTAAATTTAAATTTCAAATATAATCTCTTGACTTTAATCAAAGAGTTATATATTATAAATTTTGACACAAACAAAAATGATTGATGAAGCTATTATGCATTATATATTCCACTTTGAATTATTGACATATTGTTACTGTCTATATTGGAGATAAATTATAATCTTGTATTAGCTTTAACTTTTAGTAAAGAATGTCGTTATATATATACAAAAGATCTAATCATAATCGCATATTATCTTTTACTTTATTAGTTTTTTTTTTTTTATGTAATTAGGGTTTATTATTAGTACTACGAGTAGAGTGGTTGATTGATTACCTGAAACTCAAATGAAAACGAAATATAGCTAAGATTAAGTACTATATATACTGTATAAAAGAGAAGGATGCAGTAAAAAAACACCTATGGAGTATGGCCGAAAAATAAAACCAAACCTGTGGAGTGTGGAGTGTGGACGATTATTCTGGTCATCCCATGTGAAGATATTATATACTAGGCATAAGGGCAAAAGCTCACTTTTTTTAGCCCCTCATCTTATCAATCAAGTTTGAAGATTTTAACTCACCACCTTATATCATAATATTTTTAACTTATTATTTTATACTATAATACTTTTAACCCATCACTTATTAAAATTTTTAAAAAATAGCTCGTTTTGTAATATTTTGTTAATTCTGTTAGCTAATATTACTTTATTAATTAATTGTTAATTGACTGTTAACTTATAAAAATCTTTTTTAAGTTAACAGAGTTAACAAAACTAATTTTATAATATTTTGTTAATTCTATTAACTGATTAATAGTTAACTGGTAGTTAACAAAAACCTATTTTCAGCTAATAGAATTAACAATCAATTTAAAGTTAGAATTATTTTCTTTGATTTTAATATGTAAGGGGCTAAAACTTATAAATCTAATAAAATGAGAGACTAAAAATATCATAATATAATATAAATGGTTTTTTTTTAAATATATAATATAAATGGTTAAAATTTTTAAATTTAGTAAAATAAAGGACTAAAAAGTAGATTTTTACCGGGCATGGGTGGCAAAGAAAAGATTTCCCACCAGCAAACTGTACACTTGTCATAAATAAGGTTATCCAGAAAGATAAGGCATCCTAGTAAACAAAAGGCAATTGGTGGATTTGACTTAATTTCATCCAATGAGGAATAGTCCACAAACGCAGCATTTTTTTTTTATTGGGAAATCCTATTGAATCATTTTGTTTTATTTTTTTATATAATTTGACATGTTATTAAAATAATTAATTTTTTAAATTTATGTGAAATTTATGATATTGAATACATTCATTTACTTAATAATATGTAAAAATTATATAAAAAAAAATACAAAAAGTTATCACAATAATATCATTTTTTTTCTTTTTTTTAATATAAAAGAGAGAAGGGGACGGGGCCCGGGGGTGTACAGCGGGTGGACATCTCTTGTGAGAGTGATCACAAAACAATATTTTAGATCGTATAAGAAAATATAATATTTTTTTATTTTTTAATCTATATATTATATAATCTAAATTTATAAATTTTTAGTTTTATAGGAAAATATTATTATTAACTTATTTAAATGATTGATTATATGGATTATTCATTACCTGATGATTTCGGTTTTTTTTTTTT